CTTGATACTTCCCAATGGTTATCCCTTCAGCATCTGATTCATAGACATGTTACTGAGATGTTTGATGTTCTTTTTCTTCCCCTGTAGTGTTAGAAACCCGTGTTCTACCACCACAGCTGGGCACTGGGTGACCCAGATGGTCAAGGCAGAGACTGAGGGGCTGGAGTGGACAAAGGAAGCATAGTGAGACATCCATCCGTTCGTTCGATTGTTCATTCATCAGACACTAGTTCCTTCTTGCTACTGCCAGGTTCATTGCCAAAGGCCTCCTTGCTATGTGCTCCCCCTCCCATCCCTGCATTCCTGCTCCCACTCCAGGTATCTTGACAGGTGCTCTGCCTGGGGGGATGGAAGGGGAAGAGAAGGACAGGCAACAAGGAGGAAACAAGAGCTTCCCAAGAGTCTGCAGGGGCCCGGGTCCTGGAGATGCCCTGGAGCGGGGGTGCTGACCAGCCCCTCACTCCCTGCTCTTTCTGGCTCACCCACGGTGTGTCCGCAGTGCACCAGGACCACACGCTCTGTCACCATCTATGACCACCCCCAGGAGTGCTGAGCCACCTAGCCCAGGATCCCTTGGGGCTGTCGGGAGCCGAGACTGCCCCTTTCAGGGTGTCTGACGCGCTCCCTGCTGCATGTCTGGCATGCTTGTCTGGTGACTGTCGGGGACGCCCACCCACCTACACAAGCCTCTGCGCCTCCCCCTCCACCTGATTCTCCTGCAGAAACAGGGTTTCGGCAGAGCCAGGTGTGTCAGTCTGGGCCGCTTCCTCCCTGGGCTCTAAGCACGCTCTCGGGCTGTGCAGTGGGGCCGTGACACCATTCCGTGGGACATGGCTGTGAAATGAGGTCACGAATCCAAAGACAGGGCAGGGATTGTGCCCTCTCCTCCTTCCACAGGGGACCCCACCCTCTCGCAGCTCCCCCACAGTGAGCCTGGGACTGAGGCAACCCTCTCTGGGAGCAGGAAGCCTTGCAGGGCGTGTCATGGCCCCAAGGGTCTCACATCGAGCTGGGGGTGCAGCAGTCCCTTGCCCACTTCTACCTGCTCGGCACCACCTTTATCTGCCTGATGTTTTAGGTTCCAGGTGTTACTGTTGTAAAGGGAGTCTTAGCATCCAGACTTGAGTCTTTGATCACAGCTCGGGGAACAAATGAACGAGGTAGGTGCAGAAAGTGACCAGGAACTGGGGCTGTTATTGATACAGGTGGGCTGAGTAGGGGCGGGTGGTGGGCCGACTCAGGACTCAGCTCACCAGTACTCTGGGGTCCAGGCAGGGCACCATAGCCTGGCTGAACTATGGGCAAGCCCAGAGGCCCAAGCAGGGCATCACCACTGGGCATCTACTAGCCCAGCTGCCAAACCCACAGAAGACTCCAGACACATGCCAGGGTTCCAAGAGCTGCCCACCCCTAAAGAAAGAAGGTAGGGGTGTCTATACTTGGGGGTTGAGACACAAAGCCTTCCTGAGTACACACTGGCACCAGCTGTCACCAGGAGGTGCTGTTGGGGTTGATGTGGTACGCTGGATCTTAATCTGGACACATTTGCCAAAGTCATCAAAACATGCTGGTGACATCTACATTGTGCTGGACACCCAAACCAGACCCAAATGGTTCCCGAGAAGGGAAGTGGTGCACTGGGCCGGCAGACAGGTGCTTCCCAGGGAAAGGGGGTGTGAGGTGTGGCTCCCAACTCAGCTGGGAACCCTGGGAGTGATCAAGGGTTTCTGGGCAGAGGCAGCCAAGGCCGACACACCCACCTGCGTGTGCATATTCAGACCTGATTCTGCCGTCAACCCAGCCAGCTCTCTCATGGGCAGGCTGCGCCAGACCTGCCCCCACAGCATGCAAGCTCAGCCCTGGCCTTGGGGCTTGGGTGTGAGTGTCGGGGTGGGGGGTGGAGATAGAGGGGAAGCGGGGCAGGGAGCTCTGCCTCCAGTGTCCGGGAGGTGGTCACGTCTGCCTGCAGCTCCAATTCCCAAAGGTGTCTCTCCTCCAGAGGCTGGGGATTGGGGCACCTGCCAGTGTGAGGGCCATTTGCAGAGAAGGGTTCAGGACCACCCCAGCTGCCGCTGTCCAGGATGACAGGGGTGTGAGCTGCCAGCGGCCTGGGGAGCGGGCTGGGAGCCGTGTGTCATCGCTCAGGAAGCTGGGGGCAAGCGCTGACAGCTCCCCTGACGCAGGCAAGGGGTGGGGGGCGGGCAGGGGTGGCTGCCAGGGGACAGCAGCCCCGCTTGGCAGCCACACCAGCCCCCACCCAGCCAGGCCCAGGGGTGGGGTGAAAGGAGGCAGTCCTGCCCCGAGCCATTCACGTACCCAGTGCACTTTTACTGGGGAATCGAGGCATGGGATTGGGGGAGTGCAGTCCAGGCCCAAGGAGACCCTAGTAGGTTCGGTCTCCTGCAGGAGAAGAGGCTCTGGGGACAGCTCCCTGGGGGAGGGTGGGCAACAAGCAAGCTCCTCTTCTTTCACCTGGGATTGGTGAGCACACCAACCTGTCCTTCCTGGGGCCAGACCCCTCCACTATGACCCCCGATCATTGTAACTGCCTGCTGCAGACCACCATGGGAAACTCACCAGAGAGTGGCAGAGTGGCCCAGGGCATCCCCAGTTCCTGGCCGGACTTGACATGGTGCCAGGAGGAGCCCACATGGCCCCTCGCATGCTAGGAACACACTGCTCGCCTCTGAAGGCAGGCAGATCGACCACGGGCACCCTGAGAGCTCAGCCAGCAGGGTCTATCAGCAGGAGCAGCTCTTGCCCCCGCAGCCCTGCCTCCATCTAGCTCTGTACCCCCTACCTCCACCGTGCCCATTGTGCTCAGCTTGGCACCTGCACATGATCCAGCTTTGCATCCCTGGGGTGGGGGCTCTTGGAGGGAGGGGACAAGCAGACAGGGCTGTGTTATTAGGGTGCAGAGGTGACCGTGTTGGGGGTTGAGACGCAGGGGGCAGCCACCAGGGCTGGGAGAAGCTGCCCAGCCACATGTGCTGGCAGCTGGTTCTGGCCACCCCCTTCCCCTGGGCACCCCACCCTGGCCACTCCTGTGCCCCAAAAATGCCAGGCGCCTCACCCAAAACTCTGCGACTGAGGGGTGTGACGGAGCTGTCAGCAGCCCAGGCCACTCCTAGAAGGGTCGCTCCTCCCGCCTGGCCAGCCCTGCCTGCTCCCCCAGCTGAGATGCATGTGGTGGGAGGAAACCCAGTGCCAGCTCCAGGCCTGAGCCTCCTAGTATGGCCTGTCACAGCTCCCTCGGCCTCAGCTTCATCCATGGTTCTGTGGCCTGTCCAGGCTGTCCCACCATCTGTTCATACCCTGGGAGGCCTGACGTCTGCTCTCTGACCCAGTGCCCAGGAGGGACAGAGGAACAAGACAGGAAGGTTAGATCCTGACATGGGCAGCAGAGAGAGAAACTGTTGAGCAGGACCAGCAGGTGTGAGTGTGGGGGAGGGGAAGGAGGAGTGCCAGACACCCAGGACTCCTGTGCACCTGTCATCTACCATAAACCTGACTTCCCCATGGAATCTCTTCTCCACAGTGTTCAAAGCTGGAGGCCCACTGAGGGTCTGTCCAGGCTAAGGACCTAGGAAGACAGAATGGGAAGGGACTCTGTAGTGCCTAGGACCAGGCACAAAGCTCCTAGGACCAGCGTCAGTTTTCCCTAGAGACTCAAGGAAGGACACTAGGGGAAGAACCTGTCACTAGGCTTGTTGCTGCCCCAGCACCTTCGCTGTTCTGTCTTAAAACCTGCCAGGAGCGAGGTGCACCACCCCTATGTCGTGGTTTCTCCACAAGTCTGTGCTGCCATCTGGTGGTCATACCTGGAATGGCAGGAAGTGGTGGTGCTGGAAGAGGGGAGGGTAAAATGAGGGGTTTGAACCGTTCAGGAGCTTGCCCAGGGCGGAGAGAGCAATGAATGGCAGGCAAGCTGAAAGTTCCCAGTCATGGACTCACTGTGGGACCCAGACAGTCCTGGTCCTAACTGGCAGCTGAGGCTCAGACCAGCTCATTGTCTTAAACTGCAGTGAAGATGGGCACCCAGGGAGCTCCTCAGTGAAGCTCCCCTGCAGGGATCTGACCCTGACCCCCAGCGCAGTCAGGAACCTCTGGGTGAAACCGTAAGTGCAGAAGCCAGCCTGGCCTGTGGCCGCTCAGGGTCTGTGCCTCTGGCATCCTGCCCCCCCCCCCCAAGGGATGCAAGCAACCCCACACAGTCTAGCCCGTGGGATGGGAAGCCCAAGAATTCCAGGAACCAAACACCTTCAGGACCTGTCCTGAGACATGCTTGGGGAGAGGCCAGCCAAGTCCCTCAGAGCCTGACTGAGGGCCTTTCCTAGCCTGCACCTGTCAGGGATGGGACCCTGCTGGCCCTGGGGCTGGTCGGCTCACCCTTCCTGTTTTCCCTTTCCCGCTGGCCGCTGGGGACTCGAGAGTCGTTCCCAGGTGCTTGACAGTACAGAAGTCATAGTGAGTCACACAGAAGGGCTTCTGGGAAACAGAGGCCGTGGTCCCACCTGTGACCCGTGTCAAACCCTACTGCCTGCCCCACCCAATGGCTTTGCTTTGGAGAACCGTCCCTCCATGCCCACCCGCCCCATCCCTGAAGGAACATATAGGAGATGCATCCGAATTTGCTTCCATTTAATAAGGGATGGGGAGGCACCCCCACCAGTACCCTCAAAGCCCACACCCTCACCCACGTCTTCTGCTCACAGCAGGTGTGACTCTGCCTGCCCCTTGCAATGGGGTCTGGGCCGGGTGAACAGGAGCTGGTTTCTAGCAAGCTCTTTCAGGTATAGAAGAAAGAAACAACTCCAGCAAGGGTCCTGGAGGGTCCTCGCTGTCCTCCTGCTCAGCCATGCCTTTCTCTTCCTTCCTCAGGGATTCCATGTCCTTCTGGGGGAGCTCGTCCCGCTCCCACCTCCTTGGAATTCCGGGCTCTCTGTCTTTGCAGGTTGGCTGAAGTGGGCTCAGGCAGGACCATCCCAGAGTGCAGAGGGCTAGAAGTCAGGTTCTGCAAGAGATAGGGACCCCCAAAGGGTCAGGGAGCCAGCTGTCTTCCCATTCATCCCCACCCCTCGCCGTGCAGTGGGGAAAGCTGTTCCATAGGGGGCAGACCCCAGGCTCTGCTGTCTAGACCACCCTCTGGCTCTGAGCTCGCACCAAGTCCTTCACACCCACCCAGGCTCTTCTAGGGACACAGCACCCTTGGCCGGGGCACCTTGAGGTGCCTCTCAAGGGCAGGCCGTCTTTGCACAGAAGTTAATTCTGCAAAAGTGAAGGCTTGTAGGGGTTCCTGTATGGGTCAATTTCAGGATCGAAAAAATGGTTTATTGACAGCTAGTGTTTATCACTCATGTAAATTTGAGCATTTTTTTTAATGTGATAAACAAAATGAGAAAAATGAGTTTATTTTGGTGTAAAAAATAATTAGGGTTGGCACCTAGAGTGCCAGCATCCTATCTGGGCGCTAGTTCTAGCTCCGGCTGCTGGACTTCCCATCCAGCTCCATGCTTATGGCCTGGAGAGCAGCAGAGGATGGCCCAAAGCCTTGGGATCCTGCGCTCATGTGGGAGACCCAGAAAGAAGCTCCTGGCTTCAGATCAGCTCAGATCTGACCGTTGCGGCTGCTTGGGGAGTGAACCAATTGATGAAAGACTCTGTCTCTCGCTCTGTCCATAAAATCTGCCTTTTCAAATAAAAATTTTTAAAATTCTTTGAAACCCATGCATATAAGGAGTCTTCCAAAAACTTTATAAGGGTTTAATGCTGTGATGCAGTGGGTCAAGCCACGTTTGCAGTGCTGCCATCCTGTATTGGACCACAGGGGGTGCTGGCTGCTCTTCCAGCCCCGTTCCCTGCTGACACTTCTGAGAAAGCAGTGGAGGGGTCCCAAGTGCTTGGAAGACCATGATGGAGTTCCAGGCCCTGGCTTAGGCCTGACCCAGACCTGGCCTGTTGCAGCCATTTGGGAAGTAAACCAACACATGGAAGATCTCTCTCTGTCTCTTTCAAATACATAAATGAAATAAAACATGTTTTAAATCATAAATATATATTAGGAAAAACTATATTGGTTTCAAAAATTTTACATCAGAATAAACTGACAATTCCACGGTCTATGAAGTCTGATGCTCCCTTTAGTAGATAAACTATTGAATGCCAAGGAGAACAGCCGGTAGCGAAAGCTACCCAGGTCTGCATGTCTGTGAGGGTGCACCTGACTACTCACCTGAACGTTCTGCAAAGCACCCTGGGAAGCACGGGTGGTCAAGTGGCAGTCCCTTCCATCAAGAGTTGCTCATCTGGGACTGGTCATCACAGGTTAAGCCACACCCTGGACACCAGCATCCCATATGGGTGCCAGTTCAAATCCTGGTTGCTCTACTTCCCACTCTGCTCCCTACTAATGCACCTGAATAACACAGCGGATGATGGCCCAAGTGCTTGGGTCTCTGCATTCACATGGGAGACCCAGGGGAAGCTCCTGGCTCCCAGCTTTGGCCCCATCATCTGGGGAACAAATCAGCAGGTAGAAGATTCATTTCTGCTTCCCTCCCCCTGTCTCCTCCCAGCCCTCTGCCCACAATTCTGATACGCTGATGTTCAAATAAATAATTAAATCTTTTTACAGAGTAGGAGTTCTTTGTCCAGTTCATTGCACAGATGGGTTAATCCCGGGGTGGGGGGCAGGATGACACAGCAGGGAATTGGTACGGAGCCGCCTGCTCTGCCAACCCACAGCCAAGCTGCCCTGGAAAGGGCCAAGGGCCACCATTACCTGTGACAATGAGGGTGGCCACACTGACCGCCTGGCCCAGTGGGTTCTCGGCCACAGCCTTGTACTGGCCACTGTCCTCGGGGCCCACGTTGGCAATGACGAGGGAGCAGACGCCCTGCACGTCGGTGCTATACACGGTGGGGTTCCTGTCCAGGCTCTGGCCATTCTTATACCAGGTGACACGGGGCCGGGGCCAGCCCTGCACGGCACAGCTCATGCGGCACTCACAGCCCTGTGGCAGCAGGTGCACACGCAAACCCACCAGGAAGCGCGGCTTCTGACGCAGGTCAGGCTCCTTGTAGCTCGGGGCCCTCATGGTGAACTTCTCTGTAGGGAAGTGGGGGCAAGAGCCAGGAGCATCAGTGGGGGACCGGGAACTGAGCACAAGGGCCAGGCCACCACTGAGCTACCTGGTGTTGCAAAGTTTTATCTTTTTACATTGCTTCTTTTACTGCAAGCAAACACATAGTCCCTTGCCAACAGGCAGCACAGAGAACCCAAAAGAGAAAGAAGAAAATTCAGCCTTCCTCTCTCACCACCTGCAACTAATATTTGTGTGTGTGGAACTTTCCAGAAAGTTCTGTGTTCCAAAGTTGAAATCCGTCATCTGACTTCCCCACCCGCCGTTTCTAGCGATTATTCAAGGTCTGCATCCAGGAGGGCGTGTAAAACCCACTTTGCTTTCAGAGAAAGTGATTTCACATTACCTTCCCCCGGTCACCCTAGAGACCCAAAAACCCACAGCCTAGGGGTGGAACCGCCTGGCTGAGACCCAGAACTGCCAGGCAGCAGGTGGCAGAAGCCAGCTACGGCCATCTGCCAGGGAACCTTGCCCTGCCCTGCTCTGCCTGCCTTGTGTCATCAGGACTCCCACCTCGCCTTCGCGGGGTGCACCAGGGCTGGCTGTCTGAAGGTTCGCTGACCCCCAGCTCGTTCTTGGCCACCACACGGAAGTAGTACTCGTGGCCGGGGAGCACACCCAGGAGAGTAAAATGGTTAGTGTGCACGCGACTGGCCGCTTCCCTCCAGGGTCCATGGTCTGTGGAGCGGATCAGCACAGTGTAGTAGAGGGGGGGTCCCTGGGCTTCATCCGGCGACGGCTCCCATTCAGCTGTCACCGTCCCCAGCATGTTCCCCTGCAGGCGGACCGGTCCTGGGGCTTGTGGGCGCGCTGTCGGGGAGAGGTTGGGGGAGACCAGGTTAGAGCTCATTTCCCCTCTCCCCAGTCTGCTAGCCAGATGGGTATCCAGGGCCCCCAAAGAGCTGGCTCCAAAGGCTGGACAATGATTCTTAAATTCACCTTAATTTCCTGGGGAAGTGACAGGCAACTCAGAGAGCTGCTCTTACAAGGTGAGCAGGTTGGGTATGTTCAGGGACCCCTCCAGGGCCAAGGGTTGCCCTGGCACGTGGGCCACAGGTCAACCCCTTGGGAGCCTCTGAGTCCTGGCACAGGGTCCCTGCCCCGCACACCCCAAGTCAAGTGTAGCCCAAGTCAGGATGGAGCCATGGAAGAACTATCTGTTTCTTGGGCTCCTCTGACTTTCTGCCTTCCAGCACACAGGGAGCAGGTACCAGGGACTCAGCCAGACTGTGCCAACACCTGCCTCACCTGCCACTGTGATGAGAAAGCGGTGGTTGATCTCCTTGCCCTCGGACGTCCTCAGCATCACGGAGTAGCGGCCACTGTCCGAGAGGCTGGCTGTGGGGATCAGCAGCCGAGTGAGGCCATCCTTGGTGGTTGTCACGCTCCTTCTGGGCAAGGGAGCACCGTCCTTCAGCCACACGACCTCAGGCATGGGGGAAGCCTGGGGAATGGACGGGGCACATGCTGTGATGGGGAAGTGTTGTGGCCACAGCGGCTGGGCCAGGGACAGAAGCAGGAAGAAGCAGGTACTTCCAGTACCTTCTGGAAGTAGAGGCAGCTGGCCCGAAGCACAGAAACTTGGGACCAAGTAGGTGACTGGGGAAGCCCTGAGGGACGGCCAAGCCAACTACTTCATGCTGCCCACGGCATGTGGGGCCCTCAGAGCTGAGAGCCCTGGGCAGTGGGATCAGATGGGGGGATGCCCCAGGCATTTTCCCAGCTGGAGGGTCCTGAGAGCTCCAAGGGCTGAGCCACAGGCAAGCACTACAACGCCTGGGATATAGTGGACACAGTGGCTCATGCTGCAGACTTTTGTCGTGATGATTGGATCATTGAGAACATGTGATGCTTTATTCTGAAGATATTTATTTGAGAGGCAGAGAGGTGGGCCGACAGAGAGTTCCCATCCTCTGGTAGGCCAGGCTGAGGCAGGCTGAAGCTGGGAGCAATGAAACTCTACCCAAGTCACCACGTGGATGGATGCAACCCATTGAGCCACCTCCTCTGCTTCTAGAGGTTCATGGCAGCTAGAACAGGGACTGGAGCCTGTCCAACGTCAGGCACTGTTTAAGGGCTCTCTGAGTCTTCAGAATGAGCCTCTGGGAGGTCACCCATTTGAGAGGTGAGAGCACGGAGACAGGTTAAGGCACAACCCAGCAGCCTGGCAGCAAGTGCTCCTAATTGCACTACAGCTGCATGGTGGCAGTGCAGCTCAAGGGTTTATCCACCCTGCAGCCACCCCCAGGGATGCAAGAAAGACTCAGCCAGCAAACACTGAGCCTCACTAGGCGCCTGCAGGTGCAGTACCAGATGCTTCCCCTAGAGGACGCAGCAGGCTTGGCAGACTCGGTGCAGGCTGGGGCCAGCTGAGGGCTGTGCCTCCCCAAACCCTCCCTCCAGGGCCACTGGTTTCCAATATGCCCTGTTCACTGACCAGAACCCAGAAGCAAACAAGGAACAAAGGCACCTGTAGGAGTACATCTGACACCCTTGGTCACTGAGGGCTCCCGATCACATCCCCTGCGGACACTTACCTCAAAGGTGACAGGCACACGAATGGTATCCCCAACCCTGAATGTCAGCGACTGGCTCATGCTGGAGTCCATCAGGAACCTGGGGCCAACTAGAACACATCGGACATTTGGGGCCCAACCCCTATTCGCCAACTGGGTGGGATGTCTAATGGGGCAGCGACCCCACAGAGCTGGGGCATCAGGAAGATGGGTAGGGGATCTGAGGGAAGGGAGGCCCCTGGCAAGCATAGGGCTGGCCGGTGAAAAGTGTCGTGGCCTTGGTGTGGGGCAGAGGTTGCCACAGATCTAGGTAGGAGGTGGCTAGGGATTGCAATATGGACACATTTCAGCCTGGTGCCTGGCATGTGGTAGGTGCTTAGTAAACAGTACCTAGCACATACTGGCTTGCTTCATTAGTTCAGCAGGGGCACAGCTCAGGGAGTGGGGAGGCAGCACTAACCAGCCACAGGCTTGGCATGCACCAGCGTGTCCAGGGCCACGGGCTGGCTGCGGCCCCCTGCGTTGACTGCTGTCACTCGCACATAGTACCCCTCTTGGGGCCGAAGCCCCTTGGCTGTGAAGGTGGTGGCTGCCAAAGTCCCCGAGTGGCATGGGCTCCACTGGAGACTGTCGGAGCCACATAGCTCTACCACGTAACCCTGGGCCTCGTCGCCGTCCTGTGTGTCGGGCCCAGTCCAGCTCACAGTGATGCTGGTGTTGGAGGTGTCTGTGACCCGGAGATCCTGCACGGGCGCTGGAGGTCCTGCGAGAGCACCGTGGGAACATCAGGAATGGCCCCACAGCTCTTCCTTCAGCCCTCCTGGGGAGAAGCCGGGTCCCTCGCTCTCAGCCAATTTTGCACTGGCCCCAAATCCCTACTCTCTCAGGTCCCACACATATCTTAAGCCATCTCCTCCTGAAAGCGCCCCCTCCTCCCCTCGCTGTCCCTGCATCATTCCCTAACTCGGCCCTACGGCTTTTGTTGTGTCATGCTGACCTCCAGGTCCCCTGTCTTGACTGCTTCTGGCTTCCCACTCTGCCTAGTGAGTGGACTGTAATTCCAGCATGCACGGCCACCCAGGGGCAAGGATGGGAGTTGCAAAGCACCCAAGTGAGAGGGACTTGCTCACAGCTTTGGCCTCAGGCCCCACTGTTCATTGAGAACATGGGGGAATTATATTCCAGGCCTAGCAATGCCACCTTGAGACCTTATTCCGCCAGTTTTTTATAGCCTTTTTAATTATTTGAAAGGCAGAGAGAGAAAAAATTCGTCCATTCACTGGCTCATTCCCCAGTTGTCTGCAATAGCCCAAGCCAGGGGTCAGGAACTCAGTTTGGGCCTCCTATGTGGGAGGCAGAGACTGAAACACCTGAGCCACCACTTGCTGCCTCCTAGGGTTGGCAAGAACAGAAAGCTGAATTAAGAGCAGGGCTGGGACTCCAACCAGGCTCTCCGATAGTGTCGTGGGTGTCCCACATGGTGACAGCCTCTGTTCCAATGCCCCTCCCTCCTGCAGCATCGGGAGCTTTAAAAGCCTTCAGGTGTTTCTAAATGAAGTTTGGAATCACTGGTTAGGGCCAGCACTGTGCCATGGAAGGCTAAGCCGCCATCTGTAACGACAGCATCCTGTATGAGCACTGACAGACTCAAGCCCTGATGCTCCACTTCTAACTGAGCTCCTGCTTAATGCTGGGAAGGCATCCCAAGATGGTCTGAGTGCTTGGTTGGGTCCCTACTACCCACAGGGGAAGCCTGCACGGAATTCCAGGCTACTGTCTTCAGCTTGGCCCGGTCCAGACTGTGGCAGCTATTTTGGGAGTGGGCCAGCAGATGCCAAGACTCTCTCTCTCTACCTTTCAAAATAGGATTTGCATTAAGATCAGGCAGGCCATAAGCTTGGGTCCTACACATCTTTGATCACAGAGGGTTTTGGCTAATGCTGTTGTGCTAAAAGTATCTACCAGCAGCCTCCAGTGGCCCAAGGTCCCAGGGAGGGGAGTGCAATTTGAGGCTCAGTGTCTTGCGATGGACACCAGGACAGGGCTCTCAGCAGGTGAGCAGATGTTCCGTGGGTAAAGAATGAACAAGGAAGTTCCCCTGTTTGCTTCTGAGGAGGGTGGGTGGGAAGTCGGGGACTGTTCTGCCCCGAGTCCAGCGTGGGTGCTGCAGACTTGGGAAGACTCCTGGCTCCACAGCTGGCTCTGAACAGGTGCAATTTCAATTCAGTGCCTTCTGACCTTGGCCTTCTAGCTCCCCCTGACCTGTCACCATTCCGGGCTGATGCTTCACTTACTCAGGGGGTCCGAAGCGAAGACAGCTTCTGATGGGGGCCCAGGCTCTCCAGGGCCTGCAGGAGCCACCGCTGTGACACGAAACTCATACTGACAGCCCTGCCGCACGTCCTCCACTGTCCACCTCCTGTCTGTGAACAGCCCACTCCGTGTCAGGCCACAAGGCTACACAGCAGGCCACATTGAATCACCCCCTCCCTGCTGCCCCAGCCAGCAGGTGTTATCTGGTGCTTTCCAAGGGGAATGAGCCACATTCATGGTGACAAGGCCCCGATCCCCGCCCAGGCCTGAGTGTTCTGGGCACACGCCTTCACCTCTCTGGTTCTCTCTGTTTGCAGAGCTGAGGCCCATGGGAGTGTACCCACAGCTTACCCCATCCCTTCCCCTAGAGACGAGGATCTGAGGCCTGGAGGCCATACCCTGAGCCTCAGGGCCTGAGTCCACCGACTCCATACCTGGGCCTCTTCAAACAGAGCTCAGAGATGCCCAGGCCCTCAGGGGACCCCAACCCTCCAGTTTGTCAAGTTCTTTCTGTCCTCAGGAAAGAGTTCCTTAAGAGATGAATTGGTGCTCCTGAACGTTATTATTTTGACTTTTTGTTTTTTCTGGAACCTTCCTTGGAGTGTGTTGAGGAGGGGCAGGCTGTCTCATCTCTGTTAGAAGATGTTTATCTACACTGCTGTCTCTACATCTTAGATGCCAACAGCATCTTTCCCAGCCCAATAATGACAATCAAAACTGCCCCTCGTAATACTGTTTGCCCACCCAGATGGACCCCTGTGCAGGACTCTCACCGGCCACGGGCTGGTCATTCACAGTTGTCCAGGTGCTGCTGCCCTTCTTGCGCTTTTCGATCAGGTAGCCCAGGATGTGGGCACTGCTACGGGGTGCCGTCCATGTCAGTGTGATGCCCCGGCTGGAGGCCGACACAATGGTGGGGCAGGAAGGGGCCCCCGGGAGGGCTGTGACGGAGAGGGAGGCTGGTAAGCCAGAGACTAGGCTGGAGAGCCAGGCGGTGCTCTGGCTTTCCCCAGGGAGTGGCAGGAAGGACAGAACAGACCCTTCCCTGTGGCTGAGGGAAGATGCTAGTGGTCCCTCCTGCATCCAGCCCTGACCCTGAAGCTCCTCTCACCTTCAGGTGCCACTAGCAGCTCCTCAGACTCCAGGGCCTCCCCGGATCCCTCGGAGGTCACAGCCCGCACACGAAAGGCATACTTCCGGCCCCGCTTGACACCATTGTCCATGAAGGTGGTGCAGTCTGGGGGAGGCTCCCCCACCTTCAGCCATGTGCTCCTGCCAGCCTGGCGCCTCTCCACCACATAATGCTCCACGGCCCGGCCCCCGTCATCCCGTGGGGGCTGCCAGCGTAGACAGACCCCAGCCTCACGGCAGTCCTGCACCTCCAGGGGGCCCAGCGGGGGCTGAGGCTTGTCTGGGACCCACGAGAGAAGGCAAGAAGAGAGAGGCAGTCAGGAAACCACAGGGTGTGTGGCTGCTCTCCCCCACCCTCGACTCTGTCCATCGGCAACTGCACCTGCAGCAGGATGGGCCAATCAGATCTTGAGATACCCTCTCCCTGCTCAGTGATCCCAGGGATGTGCTGTGGCCCCACCAACCTGGACCCACACCTGCTCAGCCCTTTGGACATAAGCAGTTGCATATAGCTGCACCTGCTCAAGGCCCAGGCCCCAGCAGCCTTCTTCCCCTACCTGCACCCTCCAGCAGGGGACTGGCCCTTTGCTTGTCCCTTTTGCTCCGTCCTACTGCCTCTTGCGGGGCACACAGGACAGGTAGATGCAAGAGGGTTTTTGCATAGCATGCAAGTGAGGGTCCAAGCCAGCAGAGGCTACACCAGACCCCACCTTGGCGGCAGGGAGGGAGAGGCTGGGGCTGGCACCTAGGACCTGCAGGGTGAGGTGGGCCTGTGTGGAGCCTCCTTGGCTCTTCAGTGTCACACTGTACTGGCCAGCATCCTTCCTCCTAGCGCTCGGCAGGCACAGGCGCGTGTAGTCATTCCCTTGGGCCACCTGGGCACCCTGGCGGCCGCTGCCCAGCACCTCGGCCCCATCCTTGCTCCAGGCGGCCTGCACAGGAAGGCGGCTCTGGAAAGGTATCTTCATGGTCACAGGCTTGCCGGCCTTGACCACCAGGGGCTCTCTCAGCTTCTCCAGCACATCCAGAGAGATGGTGGGGGGGTCTGGAAATACAAGGGGCAGGGGGAGAAGGAAGTCAAGGAAGCCAGGACCCAAGGCTGCTCAGGAGCAGATAGAGAACTGAGAGGGACATTCTGGCCAGGAGTGTGGAGCCTTGTATTCCACCTTGTCCTATGGATTAATAAGGAGAGAGGACCTGGTGTGCGACAGGATGGCCCAAGGTTAGAGCTCACGGAGAATTTCCAGACAAGAGAAGATGCCGGAATAGGGAGGGTTAGCGTTGGCTCTTTTAAGCCCCCTTTCAGATGGCAGAGGTGGAGCGAGCCTCTGGCTGTGGCCACAAGCTCAGGATGGGAAAGAGGAGACAGTTGCTTGGTGCAGAGATTGTGGGGGACAGGGAAAGCAGTGTTGGCTCTCACCCTGGACGGTCAAGGTAGCTTCGCTCTGCTGGTCACCAACCATAAATGTGTACTTCCCTGCCTGGGTCCCCTGCACGGCGGCAATGACAAGTCTGTGCACCAGGCCTTTTTGCTCCAAGATGACCCCATCCTGGGCGGTAAGCTGCAGACACAGGCCCCAGCAGGAGTCGATCAGTTTCACTGTCACAGGGCCAGCTGGGTTCCTTGCAACCACAGTGAGGTCCTAGTTACAGTGTGTGGTAGGGGAGGAGGGCAGGGGAGGGAGCCACGGGCTAGTGACCCAGCTACCAGGCACGGGTGCCCAATCCCATGCTTAGAGTGGCTCATTGAACCATCACGGTAACCTTAGCGAATGTGTGCTATTCTTAATCTCATTTTTATAGGTAACTCTAGTGGCAGTGCCAGGATCTGCAATGAGACCTCACTGGTGCCAGTATCCGTGCTCCGAGCATCAGGCTACAGCCCCATCCTGGCCTGACAGCTGTTGCAGAGCATGAAGCCAGAGATTCCACCTGCTTGGAATGGCAGGGCGACATTAATCACAGGCCTTGAAGGTTGGACACAGGTATGGGGAGGCATTTGGGACGGTTGAAGGAGGCCCATATAATCTTAAACATAACACACATTGTTAGCTGTTTAATTTCTTTCCGTTAGCAAGAGCCCCTCACCCCACTTCTTCTGTTTCCCTCCCTGGGAGAGAGATGGTTACAATGGTACCTTAACCCCATCCTTAAACCATGTGCCGGACCCCAGGTCGCTGGTGAGGGTACAGGAAAATGTGGCGGCTTCCCCCTGTTGCACCTCCACATCAGCCAGGCCTTGGGAGAAGTAGTCCCTGCAGCCTGGGGAGATACAGAGAAAGTCCCCATGGCCCACGCCATGCCCTGGGTGGCCACCCATTGCTGCCAGCTGGGCTCAGCTGATGTCAGCCACACCACACCTCCCAGTTGCTCCGGCAGCACCCAGGCCTTTTGGGAGGGATGGGAGAAGGGAGAGAGGACAGAATCAGAGACATACCCCTGGGACTACAGCGAGCATGGAGACCCAGCCCAGCATCCCAGTGCTTGGAAAAACCCATACTGACACTTACCTTGGCCATCCGTGGAGAGGGCACCCACACTGGCCTTGTCTCTGGCCCTGGGACTCCTGGTGACTGCAGGGCTGATGCTGTGGGCGTCTGAGTGGCCACCCTGGCTACCAAAGGGCTTTGGGGGCTGCTGGCTCTGGGCTTCACTCAGAGACTCCCCCGGGCACCCCCCTTGCTCCCCTCCAGGTGGCTGCCGTTTGCCTCTAGCCTCCTCCACATCCCTCCTCTCGGGTACTCCAACTTCAGCCCCTGCCTGAGCTTTCGACCACTTTATCCATGCCCCAGGTCTCTGGTCTAACCTGCCAGACTCTCCCGCTCCCTGCACCTTGTCCCTGGTTAGTGCTGCAGGACCTTGGGCTCTCCTGGCCTCAGCCCACAGACACCCCTGCATCCCAGGGGAGACCCAGCCTCCTCTCTTCCCCTTGCCTAGCTGTGTCCCTCTTGCTCTGTCACCATCGGAGCCACTCCGGGTTTCCCAAGACCCTGACTCCTCAGGTTTGGGGTTAGGGCCATCACCCTGCCCACTGGCAGCGCCTTGGCGTGAGCCACTTAAGTTCTCTGTGTGACCAGTCTTGCCTTTGCCAGGGCCTTGCTCTCTGCTACCCAGAGGCTCAGGGCCTTGATGCCCCCTGACCACCTCTTGCCCTGTCGCGCCTTCTCTGCCCTGTGAGCCCCCTGGCCCCTTGTGGGTTCCCCCCAAAGTGGCCTCTGTCTCATGGAGTGAACCGTAAGCTCTGGAGCCTGAGAGCTGGACCCCAGGCCTCATGTTGCTGTGGCCAAAGCCCTGGTCTTCCAAGCCTGAGGCTTGAGCATTGCTCATCCCCCGCCCACCCATAGGCCCTGACATTGCCTCGCCCCCTGCCCTGGCCGCTGAGCCACTGTCCACCCCTGCTGGGCCCCAGGAGTCTGCTCCTGTCCTTCCATCTCCCAGCTGCGAGTCTCCAGCTCCAGGAGGTGCCAGTGCTCCCTGGTCAACAGCTCTGTTCCCATCTGTCGTCCCTGGGCCTGCTTTCCAGGAGGCCCCATCATGCCCAGGTGCCTGAGCAGCTGTTCCTGGCCAGCTCTCAGCCCCGCTCTCCCAACTGGGAGTCACACTGTACCCCATGGAGCCTGTGGTCCCAGAGCCATCAGGCCACACTCGGACCCCTTCCTGTCCCCTGGAACCAGCAGCACCCTGGGCCTTAGGGCTCCCTAAGATGCCACAGTCTCCAAAACTGTTCTTGGAGCCCACCCCATCTGCAATGGTCTGGGGGCCTCCTTGAGGCCCCAGAAGCCCTGGGTCTATGGGACTGTCCCCAGATGCTGTGCCATCTGTAGGACCCAGCATTCCTGCTGCTCCTGGGCTCTTCCCAGGACCGACCACATCCACAAGCCCCATTCCTCTGCCCCTCTCTGGACTACCCTTAGTGCTGGTGCCACCTTCTGATGCTGCCCAGCACCCAGACCCCTGACCCCTGGCTTCATGGCCACTGAGTCCAGCTTCATGCCTCATTCCAGACCATGAGCCCAGTTCTCCAATCTTGTCTGAACCATGTCCACTGCGCATCTGCCCCCCTGGCCCTGCTTTCCCAGCCACACCTGGGCTTCCCTTGTAGCCACCTTCACCCCCTGGACCCATCACGCCAGAACCACCCAGGCCTCCCCTATAGCCTCCTTCATCTCCTGACTCTATCCCGCCAGCAGTACCAGGGCCCAAGCCAACCCTACTTGGGCCTCCCCTATAGCCTCCTTCACCCCTTGGCCCCATCGTCCCACCTGGGCCTCCCCTGTAGCCCTCTCCATCCCCTGACCTTACTCTACCAGCCCTACCTGGGCCTCCCCTGTAGCCTCCTTCACCCTCTGGAACCATCCTCCCAAAACCACCTGGGCCTTCTGTGTAGCCTCCTTCATCCCCTGGCCCCATCGCCCCAGTCCCACCTGGACCTCCCCTATAGCCTCTTTCACCCTCTGACCCTACTCTACCAGCCCCACCTGGGCCTCCCCTGTAGCCTCCTTCATCCCCTGGCCCCATCGCCCCAGTCCCACCTGGACCTCCCCTATAGCCTCTTTCACCCTCTGACCCTACTCTACCAGCCCCACCTGGGCCTCCCCTGAAGCCTCCTTCATCCCCTGGAACCATCGCCCCACCTGGGCCTCCCCTGTAGCCTCCTTCACCCCCTGGCCCCATCGTCCTACCTGGGCCTCCCCTATAGTCTCCGTCACTCCCCCCAGCCCCACGTGGGCTTCCCCTGTAGCCTCCTTCACTCCCCCCAGTCCCACCTGGGCCTCCCCTGAAGCCCCCTTCATCCCCTGGCCCCATCGCCCCAGTCCCACCTGGGCCTCCCCTATAGCCTCCTTCATCCCCTGGCCCCATCGCCCCAGTCCCACCTGGGCCTCCCCTGTAACCCCCTTCATCCCCTGACCCTTCTCCGCCAGTCCCACCTGGGCCTCCCCTATAGCCTCCTTCGCTCCCTGGATCCATTCCCCCAGTCTCACCTGGGCCTCCCCTGCAGCCTCCTTCACTCCCCGCAGTCCCACCTGGGCCTCCCCTATAGCCTCTTTCACCCCCTGGCCCCATCGCCCCAGTCCCACCTGGACCTCCCCTGTAACCCCCTTCATCCCCTGACCCTACTCCGCCAGCCCCACCTGGGCCTCCCCTGTAGCCTCCTTCACCCCCTGGCCCCATCGCCCCAGTCCCACCTGGGCCTCCCCTGTAGCTTCCTTCACTCCCCCCAGCCCCACCTGGGCCTCCCCTGTAGCCTCCTTCACCCCCCGGCCCCATCACCCCAGCCCCACCTGGGCCTCCCCTATAGCCTCCTTCACCCCCTGACCCTTCTTCACCAGTCCCACCTGGGCCTCCCCTGTAGCCTCCTTCACCCCCTGACCTTACTCCCCCAGCCCCACCTAGGCCTCCCCTGAAGCCTCCTTCACTTGCCCCAGTCCCACCTGGGCCTCCCCTATAGTCTCCTTCACTCCCCCCAGTCCCACCTGGGCCTCCCCTATAGCCACCCTCACTCCTTGATCCTGCTGTTCCCCAGTCATTCCTTTGCTTTGCTTCACCTGCTGATCCCTCGGAGCTTCTGCCCAAGGCTGCCTTACCCCCTGGCCCTATCCTCCCAGTCTGCAGACTCCTTGATCCTTCTCCATAAGCTGTGCTGTCCACAGTACCTGGAGGTCTGTACATTTTGGATGCCGTCCCATCATCCAGCATAGCACCTGACCCAGAAGCCCACTGGCTCTCGGCAGCAGCCCCAGCCTGAAGAGCTGATACCTCAGGGGACCTGGAATGGCCCCAGGAACCAGTCTCAGCTGCAGAGGCCTGAGCACCGAGGAGCCCACGCCCCTCCCCATCACCCATTCTACCTCCTGCCCTCATAGCTCCTGGCCCCCCAGGGCCATCCTTATAGCCTCTGTCCCTGACTGTCTCCAGGGACTCTGAGACTTTGAGACTGCCTCTATCCCCAAATCCCACTGCACCAGGATCCCCAAGACCACCATCCAAACCATGCCCTTCCCCAGGGCTGGCTCCCTCCAAGCTTCTGGACATAGCCCAGTCCCAGGCTCCACCCATGAGGGTTCTCCCAGGGCCACCCAAGCCAGATCCCCCTGTAGCAGCACCTGAGGGGTCTTGGTTCCCAGCATCCCCTGCACTACACCCATAAGCACCTCTGGCCTCACCCTTAGCTTCCACAGCTGTCCCAGAGCCTGATCCTGTTTTCCCCAGAAGCCCTGGGCCCTGGCTAGAACCAGCCCCTATGGTGGCACAGAAGCCCCCAGAATATGCCAAGCCACTCCCATGCCTGTCCTCCGTACTCCTTGCTCCTCCAAAGCCACCTGCCACCCCCCGGTTACCCTCTTCCTGGGAATCTGCTCCAGTGCTTCCTAGTGTCCCCAGGCCCCAGACGGTCCCGTTGTGCCCTGTTAAGGAGGAACCATGCCTGCCACAGACACCTGCATCTGGGTGGGCTGTGAGCTGGAGCCCAGAGGCAGGCTCAGCCCCCTCGAGGGAGCTAGCCACAGTGCCCTGCACTCTGGCTTGCCCTGCCTGGACACCGAGGTTGCCGGAGTCTATAGCTCCTGAGGGCTGGGCTCCCGGCATGTGTGGCTGCTGATCAGCGTGAAGGCCTTCATCCTTTCCGGCTTTTGGAGAGGTGTGGTTTCCATAGAGGTCAGCACCCATGTGGAGGGCAGAGGGAAAAAATGGAAACCCATGTTAAATCCAGCCAAAGCCCCTATTAGGCCCCAACCTCAGTGATCCCAGCAAGGGAATCAGAAGCTGGACTGGGCCAGCAGGTGCATGGGTCAACCCTAGTTCCTCACCCAACTGGTGAACATTTTGACCCATGGATACCCAAGATAAAAGTCATTTGTTCAGCAAGCTGCCTGAAAGTTACATGGTCTTTAAAAAAGATCTTGCCCTGCCACCTGCCCTACATGTGACCAATTTGTAGTTTCCTAGAAAGCCACTGAACCCATCCCTGTCCTCATGAGGCTACAAGGGTGTCCTCTGGCCTGGTCCAGGGGCTTCCTGTGTGGGAACCAGCTCCTGGCCAGGACCCTCAGGCCATCTTGGATCTGTGCTCCTGAGCAGTCCTAGAGGGCAGGATCAGGAGCACTCCTAAAGAACCCTCCTTTGACCTCCCACCTCCCTTCTTGGGCACCCCTGCCCTGAGGGGCTTGCCCTGGCAGGGCAAGTAGCCACTTACCTTCTACCACCAGCCAGGCGCTGGAGGCATGGAGCCCAGTGCCCAGTGAATAAAGACCCCTGTCTGAGAGCTGGGCCCCTCTCACAACCAGCCGGTGGGTCAGGCCATCGGGTGACACAGACACCTCATGCCGATCACTGGGCCACAGTGGCTGGTGCTGGAAATGCCAAGTGGCATTGGGGCAGGGGCTGGAGAGCGTGCACTCAAAGACGGCGTCGCCCTGCTCCTTGCAGTGGACGTCAGCCAGTGGGACCACCGCCTGGGCAGGGATGGCTAGTGGGAAGCAGGAACAGGACCATTGTCAGTCTAGTAGGGGGATACAGCAGGACCAGGTGCAGCAGGAGCCAAGGACCTAGGGAGCCTGACATCATGCCAACTGGGACACAAATGCCCTGTGTGGCCTCGGGTAAATCACCAAAGACCTGCAAGCCGGGGCGTGGGCTACATGCTGCAGGGCTGTGGAAGGCTGCAGAGTCCGCCTGCTGAGAGCACAATGAGCTTGGCAATCAGAGAACATGGCTAGGGAGCCACCTGAGTATGTCCTTGGAATGGAGACTACACTCAGTCAGCCACACTGCATGCCCAACAGACGTCATCCATGACCCTTCCTGGAAGCCCACTCACCACTGGCTTGCAGTTCCGTGGAGAAGACCACGGTGTCCTCCACCCTGATCTGATAGATGCCAGCATCCTCGGGTCGCAGGTCCTGCACCTGGAACTGGTAGCGCTTCCCCAGTCGCCGCAAGCAGTGCCTGGTCTGGTTGTCAGAGCCATAGGGGATCATCCCTCCATCCTGAGGCCGGGAGAAGAAGAAAGGACAGTTCAGCACATCTTGGATTCCCAGAGCCTCCGGTGCCAGCCCTGCTCTGGCTATATGCAGTGGCTTTTGCCCACTACCCAGGCAGCATAGTGCTACCATGGTAATATAAGCAAGGGCCTGGGAAGAGCTGGGTCTGGTGGACATGGCAGGACATGGCCATGGATGAGAACACGTCCTGGGAACAGCGGTGATTTCCACACAGTGAAGAATGTGCAGGTGTTCTGTGAAGAGGCAGAACTTCTGTTCTGTTCTTGTGCAGGCTGGAGCCCCAGCTCAGACCGGGACAAGAGGCTCTGCCCCAGTATGGCAAGGGAGGCATGAGGCTGGGAGCAGTGATCCAGGGCCTCAGTTCATTCATTCATCAAGCAAGGCTGTCCAAGTGCACTGCCAGACATCCAGCCATCTATATATACCTCCACCTTCAGGAGGCAAGACCTGGGCAGACATGCTACTTGCTCAACAATAGCCAGCACCAACACCCAGCAAGTGCCCACTGGATGCCAGGCAAGCACTGCCTTAAGTGCTTTGGGCACCTAAGTATAGAAAACACATGCGGATCCTGCCCTTAGGGAACTAATGTTCTATGGAGGAGACAGAACATTTCTGAACATCATAAACAAGTATGGTAGAAAGACAGAACTATGGTGGGGGGGGCAGGGTAGAGTCACACACAGGATGGGGTGGAAAGTCTCTCTTAACCTTGACCACTCGCCTGCCCAGTCTATGTGTTGTGTCCTAGCAACAAGGGTGGGTTGAGATGCAATGGGCAGAGGGGCAGAACTGATGGTGAGGTGGGGAAGGGGGCTCCAGGTTTAGACTTAGCCCCCTCAGTGCACAGGGAGACATGTCCGCTGTCAGCCCCATTTCACAGGTGAGGGAAATGAGGCAAAGGGCTCATACCTGACCTAACACCACACACACCTGCTCAGCTATACCTGCAGCTACTTCACTGCCTCCTGAGGCCCTTGTGGCACTGGGTTCAGCCTCAGGAAGAAGCTCCACATAGCAGTTGAGTGGCCTCAGGACCCTCTTCCTATACTACCCTGGCACTCAGTCATGGGCCCAGCCGGAAACGTGAGAGGTTCCTGTGCCAAGGTGTGAACCAAGTCCAGCAAGGGGCTCCACGGGCCCAGGAGCTCACAGCCACGCTCCCTCCCCAGCACCTGCAGCCTCACCTTGTACAGGTAAATCTTGCTCTCAAGATCTCTGAGCTCCAACTCCAGATCAAATGTGGCCACCCCTTCCTTGGTGACTCTGATGTGCCTCAGGTTGGAGACGGCAGTGACGTACTGAAAGGCAGACAGGAGCAGGGGGTTAGCCTGCGAGCTCCACATTGGAGTGCCTGGCTTCTACTCCTGCCTGCAGCTGCTTCCTGACTGCACCTTCCTGCTAGCGCAGACTTGGGAACGCTCACACCATCTGCCACCCACATGGGAGGCCTGGATTGAGCTTCTGGCTTTGGCCTGGCCCAGCCCCAGCCAGTAAGGGCATTTGAGGAGTGAATCGGTGGATGGAGTTTGTCCTTCTGTCTCCTGGCAGGGCACTGAGAACCCCAAGCCCATGGTGTTCCATGCATTGGCCCTTTTACAATTGGGGAAGAAAATCCCCCCCACCCAAGGAAGGTCCCTGGGGTGCTCTTCCAGCCATAAATTCTCCCAGCTGACAAGCTTCAGCTCAATATCTGCTGGGTGCTAAACTCTGTGCGGGGCTCCAGTCTGGAGGCTTGAAGAATTACCCACAAGGTAACAGAACACTGCTCTCAGAATAGTTAACTTAGACAAAGGAAGGAACTTGCTAGATGGTTTGTAAAGCTAAGGAGGCCATGGCTTGCCCTTCCCTGAGCGTCTTGGCAGCAGCTCAGGGCCTCCCTGTCTAGCCTCGGCAGTGGTGCCAGTTGGTGGTCAGCCAGTGTTGTGTGCCAGGCACCAGGCCAGGAGCTTCTGGTGCGTGCTCTCACTCATGCTCTGATCAGCTCTACCAGGTAGCTACAACTGCAAGCCCCATTGGACAGAAGAGTCAAAACAAGGCCTAGAGGCCCTATCTTCTACAAAGCCCTGCATCTTGTCAGCATCAGAGCTGAGTTGCAAAGCTGAGTGGCAGCATAGGTCCTTAGCTCCATGTCCGTTGAGGGCTTTGTGGGAGCAATGCTTGGCTCCCCAAGACCTGTCTGTCAGCTTAATGCTAAATGCGAGGTCTCTGCGAGGCACCTGTGCTTCAGGTGCATGGTGCTACCTGGGCCATCTTGTCCTCCTGCTCCTTCTTCAGCTCCTGCAGCTTGCGCAGCATGCCCCGAAAGTCAACGATGCCATATCTCATGCAGATCTGCTCATAGTCCTTCCTGTCTGCTGTCATCAGCAGCTGCCACACCTGCTCCAGATCCACCTTCTTCTCTGGGGCTGGAGGCGGGGCCCTGAGGAACAGAGCCAGCAAGTCAAAGGGCACAGGAACCCTAAGAGGTCCTGGCAAGCTGCACCACTGGCATCCAAGGAAAGGGGCAAAGGGGCTGCAATGTCGAGAACAGGCCACGGTGGGGACTGCAAGGACCCAGCTGAGGGTAGGCCAAGCCTCAGCCCCTGGCTCTGGATTCCAAGAGAAACTATTCAGCTAACTTGAACTTGAGCTATTTGGTTAGATGTCTGGGGATGGGGTGGAGTTTGCATTGTCCCCTGACTTCACAATCAGACTTTTCTGGCTCTCTATTGGGGGACCAGCCCACTGGGAAAGCGAGGAACTCAGAACTCAGAGGGAGATGGTAGAGCCAAAGATGGAGCGCTTCCCATGGCCAAGCTGGACCTGGTATGGTCAGCTCAGGCTCTCCCCATCCACCCTGCTACTGCCCCACTGCCTGGACCCCTGCCTATGCTGGCAGCAGCCCAGGCCAGGACATCAGAGCAGCCTGCAGATTCTCTGCCTAACAGGCCCACACTCACCTCTTCTTCAGCATCTTCCGGAAGTCTACCAGTTCTTTCTTGAGATCTAGGAAAGGAGCAAGAGTGAGGCACTGAACCAGCTGACCCAATGCCTCAGCCTCACTGGGGGCCCAGCACATTGCTCTCAGGCCAGCTGTGACTGGCTGTGACCGGCCATGACCAGCTGCGCATTGGGGTGACTGGGCCCAGCAGCCTCCCCATACTGCCAAGACCCCAGGAGGTCTTTGCCAAGTTTACCTACCCTCTTGGGGTTCATTCTGTCTCTTCCGGCCCTTCCGAAAGCCCACTGGACCAGCCAGGGAAGAAAGGTGGGAGCCGAGGTGGACCAGCAAGGAGAGAGGCAAGACACATTGATGGTATTAATGGAAATCCGTGGAGAGTCCCAGAACTCTGGCACCCCACTGTACTCTAAGGCAAGAGGAATGGAGCTGTCAGGGGTGGGGGTCAGGTTCAGGGGGCTCTGATCCTCCAGGCCCTTAACACAAACTTGGGAACCAGGTGGAGGCATCTGTCCAGTAGTGAAGGCCCCTGGCTTGTGCACGTAGCATAAATGAGCAAAGTGGCTCTGGCAGCCACAACAAATGGAACCTCATCTAAAGGGACAGCCGCAGGCTCCTAGTTCAGGACAGAGGCTTCATCTTGCCAGATCCATTGGCCATAGCTGCTTGGCCACTCGTGTGCCATTCACAGTCCTTCTCTTCATCACCTGCTTCTATCAAAGAGGATGGAAAAGGTAAATGCTGGCCTTCCCAGCTTTCCTTGCCAGCGGCAGTGACCATGGCCAATGTAGAGACTTGATCTGCTTCCCCAAGAGCTGCCCACCTCCTGGATGACTAGAGGCTGCTACTTAACTCCCAAATTCCAGGCACCATGCAAGCCACAGAGAACATGCCTAAAAGGGGATGTAGCCCCAGTGTCACCTGTTGGTCCCTTGCTGCACTAACTTTACACTAACTTTATCCAGCTAGGACAGCAAAGCCCAGAGAGGAAACAGAAGCCCCTTATACAAGTTAGCAGCAGGAGACCCAGGACTAGAACTGGGCAGTGGTTTGCAGGTCCCAACCTCATGGCACGAGCTGAAAGAACCTGTATCAGAGCCTGTGCATGGAGAGGAGGGCCAGGCATCTGCCTGGGTGGGCCTTCAGTGTGGGAATGAGGGAGGGGGTCCAGCCCTGGGGGAGAGAGCTCTCTGGAGGCCTGTGCCCTGATGGGCAAGCCCCAAGGGAGTGGCCCACCTTCAATGACGGTGAGTCTAGCTGAGCATGTGGCTTCCCCGTACATGTTCACTGCTGTGCAGCGGTACAGGTCCGAGTCATCACCCATCAGCTTGTTGATCTGTAGAGAAGCCGAGGGCAGGGGGCACAGGGCAGGAGAGAGCAGGGTCAGTATTGCCCACCCCTGCTCTGTTTGCCAGCCATAGCTTTACACTCTGGTCCTCAGGGAGCTCCCAAACTCCCAAACACACAGCACAAGGCAGCCACTCCTTGCCATCAGTGCCTGCTTTGGTTGAGGAAGGTGTCCAGTGGATCTAGAGTGCTGGTTCTGTTACTGATGACCAACCCTGAAGCCCTGGGCATGGTACCTGACCTCCGTGGCCTTCTGTGTCTTGCCTTGGAAGACAGGGGTAACAACAATGTGAAAAGAAATGGGTGCTTAGGACCCAGCACACAGCAGCTGTGCAGTGACTGGTATTGGCAACATTCTAAGGATTAATCAAGAATCAGGGAGTGGCTAGACCCTGATTCTTGCTCTGTAACCCTCAGCTCTTCCTAGCAACATTGAGTAGCACCTGCTGCAGCCCTATTTTACAGACCTGGAGACTGAGGTGGAGGGAGGTAAAAACTTTCCCAAGCCACTGTGGATGTGGCTGTAGTTTTTTTGGGTTCCAGGACTCTGATGCTCTCCCAGAGAGAGCCCTCTGGCTCATACAGCCTCTGGCCTGGGCATTGCCCTGGGTGGGTTCACTTCCAACTTGCATTGTCTCTTACTCCCATGGGGATTTCAAGCCCTGTGTCACGCTGTGCCATCCCTACCTGCAGCGTGTGCTCCTTGCTGCCAGCAGCCGAGATCTGGTACTTGCTGGAGTTACTGAGGTCACCTTGGGAATTCTGCCAGCGCACCTCAGGCATGGGCTGTCCACTGACCACTGCCCGGAAGATGGCATTCTTCCCTGTGGTAGGAAGAGGCCAGCAGGGAGCCAGAAATCAGGGAGTGGGGACTATACTTGGCTAGGATGCACATCTGATTTGTGTCACACTGCCTGCTCTGGGTATTTCAATTGCCCCTTCCAAGAAGGAGGCCAACCTTGGTCCATTGGCCTCAGGACATGGAAGACAACATGTTGCAAAAACTTGGACTCCTGACAGGACAGGTGAGGCTGAGCTGGCCAGGTGGGAAGGGCAGCTGGAAAGGGCAGAGGAGGATGGGACAAGTTTCTACTCTTGAGTGGAATAGGGAACAGCAACCTTGGAACACAATGGCTGCTTGGTACCCACCAGGCTGGACCTGACACACATGGGCTTCCACCCCAGAAAAGACTCCAAGCTCCTTTCTCCCCTCCAGCCTCCCTCCAAGAGCATCTCCACTCTGTGCTAGCAGGTCCTAGAAGGCCCAAGAGTCCTCCCCAAGCTGATGTTTAGAAAAATAAGTACAGCGATCCTGCTTGTCTACAGAGGATATGTTCCAGAACCCTGTGGATGCCCCAAAATGGGAATAATCCTAAGCCCTATATCATTTTCCTATATGTTTAATTTATACACTAGGTGAGGAAGGTGATCCACTGTCAAATAGAACCACTGTAAAGCATCCACCTTGCAGATCCGTGAACATGCATTCTCTTGCTCAGAGCATCTTACTATGCTGCCACCTTTTCATTCAGAGGAAGCAATTGGTGGCTTCTCTCTGGCATGTGGGCATTGCCAGCATCCCTGTCTTTGTGCTCGGTCTTTTCAGCAAAGTGAGGACTGTTTGAACACAAGCCTGCCACACATGAACTGCAGCAGGTGGATCTCCTGGCCAAGCAGTTGCTAAGTGACTAATGAAAGGGCAACACACAGAGCCAGAGCATGAACATGCTCAACAAAGGGATCCTTCACTTCCCAAGAGGGATGACACCAGACTCGGACAGCACCTAAGTCTCCGAAAGTTGGGCATTGTTTATTTCTGGATTTTCCATCAGAGTGTGTGTGGCCATGATAACTGAGACTGGAGATAAAGAAAGTGACTACCCCGTCCCCAGCAAGCCGTTGTCCCCAGTGCTTTTCTGGAGTGATGGTTCCACTGACCTTCCAGGAACAACTTCCTTGGGCCCCTGGGGTTTGATTGATGCCTATGGGGATTGGGAGGCACCAAAGGGCCATTCTGGGACAGTGGGGATAGGAGGAGTAGAAAATAACCCCAAGTCAGTACTTCTCCCTCCTAGTTCGCCTCCCTTCCCCTCATCAGCACCCCAAGTCTTCTCCCAGGCACCCTTAAAGATAGGAAGGAGCCTTCAAAAACACCACAAAAGCAAATATGATGAGAACATTATGCACGGATTTCCATTCTTTTTTATGCACCAAAGTAATTCCATTTTAACTAAACTTTCTAATATGCCCTCATGCAACGTGCTAATGGACCTGAGCCCCCTGCCTGGTGCATGTTGGAACTAGTGCCAGCCCTGGGCAGCTGCCTTCCAGGGTCTCACCCTCCTGCAGAGCCAAGGTCACGGGCTTCCGCTCAAAGCCAGGCAGGCTGCCGCCTTCGGGGATCTCCTCCACCAGCTGCTGGACGCTCACACCAGGCATGGAGGGCTTCTTGAGGGGCTTCCCTGCAAAAGGCGACAGAGAGGGAGCTGGGGCTCCCCTTCCCCCACACACTGGGTAGTCTTGAGCACCCATAGATCCTCCCCCGTCCCCAGGAAGGAAGCACCTTCCTACTAGGGGCAGGGGCAGGTTGGTTGGTTCTCCCTGCTGCCCTTAAGGTAACCTTAAGCCTGCCCCTGGGGAAAAGCTGGAGAAGGGGGAGCCGAAAAGGCTCTTCCCCAGGAAGCAGGCGCCTGCATTGGCACTAAGCACCCCTTACTCAGGAAGACGAATCAAAACCAACAGCCCAGGGACCAGCATTGTGGCACAGTGGGTAAAGCTACTGTCTGCAATGCTGAATCCCATATGGACGCCGGTTTGAATCCTGGCTGTTCCATTTCTAATCCAGTTCCCTGCTAATGTTCTGGGAAAGCAGTTGAGGATAGTCTGTACCCACATGGGAGACCTGGAAGTATTTCCTGGACTCCTGGCTTTGGCCTGGCTCAACCTTGGCCTAGCCTTGTGTGTTGTGGCCATTTGAGGAGTGAACCAGAGAGTAGAGGATCTCTCTCTCTCTCTGTAATTCTGTCTTCCAAACAAATAAATACATCTTAATTGGGGTGCAGGGGACACCAGCCAGGGCCGGGGCTGGGCTGGAGCAGGGTGATCAGTCCTCACACCTGCCATGGTCCTGCTTCCTGCTGGGTTCTTCCGAAGATGGGAGCTGGAAACTGGTTTCCTGAGAACAGAAAGCAGGTTGCTTATGAGAGGTGCACACCTGTGTGTGTGTGCGCACACACACACACATATACACACACACACACACAATCTGTTCATCCGTGATGCCTCACAAGGGAGCTAGGAAAGGCCACGATCCTCAAGAACTTGTCAGATTCCAACTTAAGCCATTGACTGGCTTCCTGCAACCAGACAGGGAGAAGGCAGAGACCCCAGCCTGACAACCCCAGGGGTTTCCCAAACTGGAGGAACTCAGACTCATTCCAGGATGTGAATGCTCCCAAGCCATGCCCTGGGCCTCTTGGCTCCTCCTTCAACTCTGAGATTTCCCCACAAGGCCCAGCATCTCTCTCCCTCCCACAACCTCATCCGATATGGAATCCTTCAGATCTCAAGGTCTGTAGAGGACGGTCCCTGGCTTTGGCTGCCTTGAAGCTCTTCTTGGCCTGGGCCTGTAGGTTCCCCATAAATCCATCTACTCCTCTCTGAAGCCGGTGAGTGATGTGTCAGGTGAACAGGAGTCAGCCAGCATGCTGGGAGCATGCACCTGCTCTGGTCAGTGGGGAGTCACCCAGGGAAAGGAGGTGCTGGCTCTGGGATGGATGAGAGCCATGAATGGGGAGGGGTCTTAAAACAATTCTCTCACAGTCCCTTCCTGTGTGGTTGGCCAATGGCCAGGAGACTCCATTAGGAAAACTCCATTTCCAGACATTAGGAAGGGTACATCCAAGTCTTCTGGGAGGATACTGACACTCCTATGTCATAGCTGCCCACCCGCTGGCACTTGTGGCCCCAGGATGTCCCTTCCACTGCCCTGTCAATCCCTCCTCCAATGCGCTGGAATGCCATGGTGCGCCAACTGAGCACTGGAGCGGTCACAAGGCGCCATAGCCGCAGCGCCCAAAGGGGTCACAGGGGAAGGGATGGGAGGGCAGCCACCAATGGGGAGTACCTGCGCTGGCCATGGCTGGGGGTGCTGCAAAGACCTATCACATGGTAGAGTTAGGCATCGTGGCCCACGGCCACAGCCCCCACACTGGGATGGTGTGACATCACCAGGGATGTCTTAGTCACCATCGCCCCCCCATGGTCTTGCCCCACCAGTTGTCAGCCAATTACCCGCTGTGTGTCACAGTCCTTTTCTCCCCACAGCCCTGACCTTCAGATTCCTGCAGAGAGGGGGCAGAGGGAAGTAGAACTCCAGAGGGGGCATCTCCGGGGCTGATACAAAGCCAGCTTAGCCCCTAGAACCTGCTTCTCCCCCAGGATAGACCAGCCTTGGGCCAAGGTCAGTGACCAGTGGCTGATGTCCATTCAGCTGGAGACCCCAAGGCCATGGTCTTGGAGGTCATGGGAGGAAGTAGGGAGAGAAGCCAAAATGGCCTCCATGGCTGGTCCCCACATCACACAAGAATTGTGCTCCCTCTCAGAAACATACAGCAGCTCCCCTCAGCCCAGCCCAGCCCCGCTCTGGTCCCAGGAACCCCAGCTGTGCCCCTTGGCCTCTCTCTGACACATATCCCTGCTCTCTACTTGCCCCACTGTCACATCCTGCGGGTCTAGGTCTCTGCTACTGCTCACTTCAACCAGGAGGAATTAAGCAGGAAAAGCTAAATGCTAGTTGCCCTGGTTGTGCTATTAGCCAGGCCAGCCTTGCAGCCAGCCTTCTGACCTGCCGGTGAGGTTTTCATCTGATCATCATGTCATACCCTAAGCCAAGCAGGGCGGGGCAAATCAGAGTGAGACCAGAACCCACCAGAGGGGCCCTGCATGCACCCCAGCATGGACCAGCCAGGCAGGGAGCGTCCCAGGGCTGATCTCACACGCCCACCACCTGCTCTGCCTGGCTAGGAAAGACAGAGAGCTAGTGCCTCCATCGCTGCCCTCCCTGGCCTGAGGGATGAGGGGGGCTGACCTGCCCGGGTGTGCAGCCGCCTTCCTGCTTCCTGGCCTCTTCCTCCTCTTCCTCGTCTTCGTTCCCAGCTGTTGTCCGCAGCCGCAGACTCTGCATCAACCGGTGGTGGTGAGGCAGGGTTGTAGCAGATGTAGGTCATCAAAGACGCCAGACTCCCTGCCCCTCCCACTCGCCCCGCCTCCCTCTTGCTCCAGCCCTGGCTTGGGAGGGCAGGGCAGGGCAGGGCCTCCCCCACCCCTCAGGGCTAATCCCCAGCCTCAGAGGAGGCTCCCTTGCAAGGGTCCTGAGACACCCCCCCCCCCACAATTAAGCAGAGCTTTTAAGTTCCCAACAGACTGCTCAGTGGCAGTTTGCTCGGTGATGTCACCTTGTTTATGCCATCTTTCTCATCATCCAAAGCCTTTTGTTCCAGTAAAACCGATCTCCAGAGACTTGGCCCCTTAAGTCATACAGACCTTGGAGAATTCCACGCCAAAGACCACAGCCTCTGAGACCCAGACCAGTAGAAAGACTGGTCCCTTAGGCTGTGCTTGGTGGCTGCTCTCCCCTGATAGTGGCAGGGCAGGGGACACCCTGAAACTCGTACACCCAAGAAGATTCCAGCCAATGTGAGCTTGCCCAGGGTAGAGGGGTGACCTGTTCCCACAGGCTGTAGTTGGTGGGGCAGCTGGCTGGATTTTGAGGATGCATGGACGGAAGGTGGAGATCAGAAATAGGCTGGCTGGCAACAGACCTCCAGGACAGGGCAGGACAGCTGAGGCCCTGAAGGAAAGGTGATGAGGCAACCTGGGCAGGAAGGAGCCACCTGCTCTCTCCTTAAGGGCAGAGAATGGGTTGGAGGCAGGAACAAGGCAAGGGGACTCATCCCTTTAGAGGTAGGGTGCCCCGCATTTGCCCATGTCGTTCATGCCTTGCCAGGGCCTCAGCCATCACCTCGGCAGGTGCAGAGGAGGTTACAGACCTCTTGCTCTCAGAGATGTGTACACGTGTATGTGTGACTGTGTGTGTTGCACAAACGTACACATGCACTTCTATCTATGTCCCCTTTCCCATGTATTTCAGAGTCTGAGGTTGGGCTGCCATTTATTCAGTCTGTCACAGGTGGAATGCAAGGGTAACTTAATTTGGTGAGAAGAACTTTGAGATGCGTGTGTGGTTTTTCCATCATTGGCTTTTTGCATGAATGTTTCAGAGACTCCTCATACGCAAAGATTTCCATTTTCTCTTAAACCAAAATAAACTTATCTTTCTGTTCCATTTTCCACGAACCCTTCAAGGTAGCCTCAGAAGGAATGAATTCCCACCTCGTGTTGGGTCCTTTGAACTGACAGGGCCCTCCCCTCAAGAAGCTTACAGTCCAATGGGCTGGACAGAGATTGACTCTCCTGTTGCAAACTGCTGTGCAGGCTCTGAAGGACCTGACATGGAGTGAGGGTGGACACGTGGCTTTGCAATGCCCTGGAGAGGATGGCTTTCTTATGGTGGAGTATGAGGTGCCAGGGGCTCTGCTAGGCCACCCTGGACAGGAATCTGTGACCATGGCTCAGTACAGAGCGCTACCGCATGTCAGGTGCCTCTCCTGACCACGTACATGGAGGCCAGCAGGCCCAACCATCCCGGTGTCAGATTAGCCCTCTCCAGGGGCACCCCTGCTGTCTTCCCTGAATCATACTTGGATCCCCGTCACTGCAGTGAGACGGACATTTCATGCCTCCAAGAACCCGAGATGGGTCAAATGATTTTCAGCCACACTTTATCCTTGATCAAATGTCACGCCCAGGAATATTTAGCTCTGCCTGGCCGCCCAGCCAGCAGCAGGAAGGTGAGAATCTTCAGCTGCGTGCAGGTCCTATCCCAGACAGGGCTGGTGCTTCCTGTGACTGGCACTGGTAGGCAAGGAGAGAATAGCCAAGGGCCCAGGCCATCCTGGGAACTGTCTGCCCACCCCTCAACCCAAGAAACGGGGCATTGCATTTCAACCTTTTCCCACTGATCTGTCCCAGGGGTCAGTTTTTCTCCAATGGTGAAATTTCCCACATCTGCCCATGGTCCAGCTGTGTTACATCTCCCAATAGGCAAATCCTTGTCGTTACTGCTCAGGGAAATGATTGAGCCACAAATGATTGTCCCATGCCAGGGCTTTGTGTGCATCATTCACTCTTTCTCCCTGCTCTGTAGTAGGAAAGGGCTGGAGAACTTGGGGACGGGAAAAGGCCATTATGTATTATCAACTTTCTGTCTTCTCCACTATCCCCCCAGAGTGGAATGGCAGATACCAAGGGACCCAGGCTCCCTCTGGAGGTCATTGTAGTTCCCATGGCCACGAGTAGACGCAGACAACCTTTGAGATCCTCCAGTCTTGTGATTTGCTGAGTGGGTCCCTGAGTAAGGCCCCTGTGGAGCTGACAAACAGGGCAATCCCATGCAAACTAAGTTTAGCTGTTGGCCACGGCTGCCTCTGTGCCTTGGGGTGAAACAGTTCTGTCCCAGCTGGTCTGCCCAACTGGACAAGACAATGAAGATGTCCTCCAGGGGGCAGAGTTCTCTCTCTCCCCACTGTAGCCCAGGCAGATGGGCTGGGGCAGCATGGTTCTAACCAAACACCTGCACACACATGCATGCACACGTGACCATATATACAATATACACATGTGCGTGCACATACAACACACACATACACCTGTGAATACAGCACCATCTCATGCACACACACTGCCACCTACAGAGCTGAACTCTGGTGAGTGGCACAAGTCCTGCCTGTGGAGACAGCGTCAAGGATTAGGGCCTTCTCCTGGGCCTAGGACTAGGGTGCGGGACTCTGTTCCAACCACAGGCCTTACCCAAGGAGCTACAGCTCTGCACACTGAGGACAGATAGCACTCCCCCTGTGCCTCCCCACCCTGGTCCCTGTGGTCCTCTGGGCCCCTACCAGGGCTGCACTCCCTGGAGCCTGCTCTTTGAAGCCATCCACCAGCCTGGCCTGTGTGCCTCCTCTCACCTTGGCTTTCTCACTTAGTGTAAGAAGTCGCTTGTGGCCTCAGGGGAAGGAAGATCTGGGAGACCCCCAGGGGTGACCACAGGCTTGCTAAGCTGGCTTCCCCAACAGAGAAACTGCAGCCAGGAGTCACTCCATGCTCCCAAAGCTGCAAGAGGAGTCCCTTGGAGCGACAAAGAGGAGAGGCTCCAGTTTCTAGGAGCAGTGAGGACACTGCAGGGGTCACTTTGTTAAAAGGACAGTAGAGACCCTGGAAAGACCAGAGCTGGACAGGATCATTGAGGTCATCTAGCAACAGCACCAATAAAATTAGAGCCGCATGCTTGACCTTTGGGGAGCTCTGGCTATGTGCTGGCCATCCTTAAAAGTCTTTAGTTGCTTTAGCTTGTTTCATCCCACCCAACCAAACCCTAGGGCAGAATCATTATTGACACTGTTTTACAGAAGGGCAAACTGAGGCAGAGGTGTACATACTGGCCCAGGTGAGTGGCAGAAACAGGATGGGAGTCTTGGTGCCAGCCGCTGTTTTCTTGATCAGTGTTCTTGCGGTCCCTTGTATTACTCCCAGCAGTGTGTACTGGGTTCTGTGGAAGGCATAAGCAGATAAGTCACCCCAGCAGGGGACAGTACAGGATCCTGCATTGCACTAGAAAGCTGCACCTGCCTACTGGAGTCTATCAGCTGGTGAGGGGCACACAAATCACTGCTGTGGCCCAGGATTCAAGTTCTCTTGCTGGTAAGGGCTTTGGGCCCCATGGTGGGCACAGCCAATAGCATGCCCAGCCCATCAGGCAGGAGCCTGGCCCAGGGCCCTCAGCCACTGCATGACCCTGGGTTGTTTCATTTTGCCCACAGAACACCTTTGGAGGTAAACTCATTATCTGCTCCTGAGACTTTTTTCTGTTGTTCATTCTTTCTTTTTTTAATGAACAAGTGATGAGGCAGGACTCAGAAACAGGTGATGGGTTTGGCTATGTGGTTTGAACCACATAACACGTTGAATTCAGGGACACAAACACCTTGCAAGGTCATGGTGCAAGTTGACATTATTACAGGACTGGCAGATGGGTGAGTCCTTGGTGCCCGCCCAGGAGCGTGACATGGGACTGGGCACTCTTAGTGGCTTGGGGTATGGGAGGAGACTCCTTTGCTTTCTTTTCCATCGGGGGCTTTGTTACAAGCCTGTGGGTAACTTGCTGGGAGACAATATTAGAGCTTTTCATGGAGCAGCCCACTCCATACCCTAGGAGGGTCTCCCGGGGTTCAGAAGGTGCTCTGCCTCACCCCTCTGGAGACCCCACAGGCTCAGTGCAGCACCCCAGTTCATCATGTCCTTGGAAGCTGCCAGTGACAGCATGGAGGGTAGAGGGAGGAGATGGCAAGTTGACTGGGAGGGAGACACCTCCTACACACCACTCCCAAAAACGGTGATGTGGAAAAGCATGGGAGCCCCTACAACCAACTGCCTAAAGGCAACCATGATGTATGCCCTAGGCCACTGCCACCACAAAGGGCCCCCCAGAAACATGCCCAACAGGGACGGAAGTTCTCCTCACCCCACTGGCATTTCAGCTCAGTCACCGCCCTGAATGACTGAGCCTGGGAACCCTCAGCTGAATACTGTCTGCTCTGAGGGCTGAGAGAACATTGAGGGGGCCCTGAGGCTGAACCGGGATTGGGGAGTCAGGAGCCCCAGCTCCTGGGACTGGTCCCTGGAAGATCCAGCAGACTGCCTGACTCAGACTCTCAGATTGGAAGCTGACACCAGCAGGACTTAGTTTGAGGTGGAATCTGCATTCTGCCTGTGCAGAAAGCCTGGTTGCAACAGAAGCCAGCTCTTCATGGCATCCAAGCTATCCCCTCCAAGCAATGCCCTCCCCATCTGCCTTCCTGCCAGCCGCCTGCCATCCAGCCAAGTTAGCTTTTGTCCCACACCCCGTCACCCTCCTGACTGCAATGCCAACCCTGCCCTCCTGGGATGCCCACGTAAGGCAGTATCTCCACAGAGCTGCACTTTTTCCCCCTTAGTTTTCCCAGCTCCCTCTGTGTCCTGGGAATTTCTGAAGCACCTTAACAGGCTCCTTCTCCTGCCACACCTTCC